GCAGGAGGAGCACTGAGTAAATCCCCAGCCTCCTAGTTCTCCTTTGATTGCTCTTCCAAGACATAAAGTCACTACCTTATATACAATGTTCTTAACAACATGAGAGAATAATATTTTAGTCCTTGTGGGATCATATATTTAAACTCCATATAAGGACTTGTTTCAGGCCAAGAGGGCAAATGCTACTAGATGAAAACATGCTGCTGGAAGGCACTTCTTCAAGATTTTGTCCAAATCTGACACTGAGTTACTCATACACGTAGTCACTTCTAGACATTTGTGTGTTTCTAGAGAATTATAGCCAAGCCTAAAGGAATGTTATTAAATATTAACTGAGACCTTAATGTTGTGGTTTTGAAGAATAAGTCTCCAATGATATTTTCTAAGGACATAAATATGCTCTGGATTTGATGGCTACAGTTAAATTCTGTTGTCAGGGAGTTTATCCAGAGTGTTTGTTGTCTCCTGAAAGCCAAAGGCCATACCATGGCCAAGGATTCTTAGAATTCTTGTGCAACAACCAGAGACTTCTGACAGAGACTGAAGCAGCATCTCTTCATTCTGTACAAGGCTAGGCCTGAAGCTACATTTAAAAAGTAGTTAAGCTGCCTACTCTAAGTTGTTTCTACTGGAACGACAAACCTGATGGATATTAAGAATGTTCTCCCTAGAATAACACACATGTACAGGTCTTGTATATAATACTGGCCTACCATAAACTCATATTAAAGGCCTTGCCTTGGTGGCACACTAACTTTCTGAGACAAACTTTATTCCTGGAATGTTTTCACTCACACTCCTTCACTGGCTTCAACAGGACCATAAACCCTGCTGTGATTCATCCTACCCTCTGGTATAAACTAATAAAAAAAAAAGAAGAATACATAATGTAGCACTGTAATGCTCTTTTATGTGTACAACACCAAATCAACATCAAAGAGGAATATAAATTATAATCTGCCAAACTGGTAAGCACCTTCATCAGCCACTTGCCCGTATATTTATAGGCTCTGCCATGGATTTTATATTTCTGTTTTTTGTATGTTGTGTCCAAGACAAGATGGTTACTCGTTCATACAACTTTCAATAGCATTACTAGGGGTAATTGGCAAGCTGTTTTTATGGGCCCAAGGACATTCAAAACACGTATTGTTCTAAAACCCTTAGATGCTGCTTGCTATACATTGAATACACTGAATAATTTAAACAGTCAAAGTCCTTGTTCATTAGAGTTTGATCTCAACATTTTAAGTGATTTTAGTTAAGATATGATTTTAAAAAGTACTATTTGGGAGAAAGGGTATATCTGACATATGCAGACAATATTGAGCTCTATTTCCAAAGAATTTTGTTGAGACTGCTAAAACAAAGTCGTTTGTAGTTATTGAAGCTTATTATAATTCAGAACTTTGGCTAAATCCTTTATAATCCAGAACTTTGGTGAAGTCCTTTATAGAAATCATCTTATTTAATTCTCACAAAAACCAACTGAAGGAATGTGGCAGACCAGTGAATTGATATTTAAACTTGCTTTCTTTTCTTGTGAGCATACAGTTAGGTTATTTTTCCTAGCCTTCACTCCGTTTATGCTAGGGAAAAATAAAGCAAGTATCCTCTAGGAATAGTCCATAAAAATTTTACCACTCTTATTGATTGTGGAGAATCTGCAGAAGCCGAGCTATAAAATTGCAAGGATTTGGATTGCTGAACTCCTGCAGAAGATGCTATCTGAGAATACCTGCATGGAACTGTAACATGAGCAAAAGATAGACTTCTACTGTCCTGAGCCCCTGATACTTGGGGAGTATTTGTGGTATGGTTCTATGCTATGAACCATGTAGCCATTCCCATTTCACTCAATATAAAGGCAAGTCAGGCTCTACTGAACATGCTGTCATGAGTATTGAGAAGTTAAATAATCAGGATGCTCATAGTCACAGGGCTAATAAGATCCAGTGGATTTAAACCCAAGTGATTTGCCCTTAGAAACCAGGTTAATAATTATTATTATATACAGTCTGTTCCCTTTTCATAAGTTCATTTTCATTGTACACAGCATAAACTACCCCTCTGCCTGACTTCCTATATTTGAAGGAGATGGATAGATTGGGCCCCAAAGTTAAGGACAGAAAGAAGGCATTATTTTTCAATAAATTATTAGTTTTCTGTGTCTCTTATTGACCCTATAAGAGGAAGACTAGGTCACTTAAACAACTTTGCAGGAGATGCTGTCATCTTGTTTATATTCACAGGTTCTCTAATAGTTACAGGATACTCCATAACAAATTATTCCTAAAACCTACTAGCTTAAGACAATAATTTGTCTCTCCCCATTCCTGTGGGTCAGGAATTTAGAAGGAGATTAAGAGGATAGTTATGGTGTGAGTTTCTTTTATGAGGCTGCACTCAAAACAGTGGCTGGCCCAATCAAGGCTGAGGCATCACTTGCAAGATAAATGGTTTACACAGCTTGCAAGCTGGCCTGGATATTGGCAGAAAGCCTCATATCCTCCCCAAGGTCTATCACGACTGCACTCACAACACAGGGGCTTACTTCCCCAAAACCAGCAAACACAGAAACTAAGACAAAGGTGCAAGGCCTCTCATGAGTAATCTTAGAAATGACACCCAATTACTTTTGCAGTGTTCTATGGATCACACAGGCCAGCCCTATTCAGAGTTGGAGGGGACTAAAGAAGAACGTAAATCCTAGAAGACAAGGTCACTGGCAGCCATTCTGAAAGTTAACTGTCACACTCACCCAACACCTGTGTCGAAAGAGCCTACCCAGGAACTGACAGTCACACAGTGAACACAACAAGTAGAAGAGCTTGCCTTTGTGAAGCACATAGGCTTGTGGGGAAGAGAAAGGCAACGGATCTAGATAAGTAAGTTACAGAATATGCTAGAAAGTGTAAGTGAGACAGAAAGAGAAAAGCAAAGGAAAGAGGAAAGGGAATGCTAGAGGCCAGGACTGTTTGTCATTTAACAGACAGTTCTCAGTAACCCTCACTCACACATTTCAAGGAAGGCGAGGAAATAAGTCACACCGTTTCATGGAGGAAGAGCTTTCCGGGTGAAGGATCAGCAAACGCAGCTGCTTTAAGACAGGAGTGTGCCTGCCATGTCCAAGGGGCAGCAAGGAGTCAGAGTGGCTACAGGGAAGACGTAGGAAATGAGAGGAGCTCAACAACAGTGGGAGGACAGCGAGGATCCTTTAGGTTCCTACACAGACTGACCTTCATGCTGAATACAGTGGAAAGCCATTGATGTGATCTCATCTAACACATTAAAAATCTCATTTCAGTGGCTTTCAGAATAGACAGGCTGAGGTGGTAGCAAATTAGGAGGCTCTTATAAAAATTTGGACAAAAAGTGATGGTTTATATTGCCAGTATAGATAGTACATTCATACCTTGGTACTCAACTGCTCTGAAACTTGTCTAATTTGGTCCTGAATTCTGATGGAAAAATTTTGTCTCCATTACTCCTTCTTTGTTGGAACTTCATGTGCAAGTTAGAACTTGTCAGTGTCAGCTGCCTTGTGACTCACTACCCTTTTCAGCCCAAACAGTTTGTTTGACACTCATCCTTTTTCGTATTTGTGCTACTGGGAACCAATTAACCATGAGTACCAAGGTACCACTGTAGTCAGATTCTAGATTTATCCTCCATGATTAACTCACCATTCTAGGAAAAATCCTTTATTTAGGAAAAGGAGTATTTTTTAGGAGATCTTGGAGTTGAGGCTGTCAAACGATAGCCTAAGGCACCTTAAATGAGCCTGGAGAAGAAAGCTTCATAGGGATTTGCTGTTAGGAATCCTGAGGTGGAAAAGATGAAGAAAACCTCATGTGCCTTACTCTCTGTTTTAAAAGTGAAGCTCTGAGTTAACATAGCTCATAATGCGGTGCAGGAGAAATCTTGAGAAAAACCAGAAACCACAATGCCCATAAAGAAAAGACTACATCCATGCACACACATAGATCTACACAACATGCATTAAAAAATATCAGCTGTTAAGACTAAAGACAAACTATGAGAATTTCCATCCTCACAAGGTGGCAAAAATGAGCTGCAATGGTGTAATTGTCACTTACCTCAAGAGGAATTGGCTGCCACACATTAATGTCAACACGTGTAGGAAAATTTGGGGAAATAAATGGAAGCTTCTATGATTTCAAGCACTTCTCTAACAACAAAACCATATGAAGTTAGATTTTGCAAGTCCCATGAGCTCTTGCAACAGAATTCACAGCCTCTTCCTTTTGTCCCTTCCTTTTAGCAATGTAGTATCTTGAGCCACTAATAATTTGAGGGTTTTACTTAATCCAGGAAGTATATTAGAAACCTTTCCAGATTTTTCATCTGATTTGTTCGTGCTGATGTAGTGTTGTCAGATACCTTATTTTACCTGATAGATACTTAATGCACAGGCAGACACTGCTGTATTTAGAAATTTTTATTTCGGCTCATTAAAAACTTCAAAATGGATCTGTATCATGTACCAAACTGATTCAAAATAAATCTACATGTTTATTTAAAAAAAAAAAAGACAAACTGTATGGGAAAATTGCTTGTAACACAAATTAAAAAAGGGCTCATATTCCTAAATTAAAAGCCTCATAAATTCCTAAGAAGACAACCAAGTAAAAATAGGTAAAGGATGTTTTAAAAACGAGGCTCTAAACAGTACCTCCTTCACTGCATTATTGCGAAGATAAAATCACAACATATGTAAAGCATTTAGCACTATCCCTGGCACAAAATAAAGGCTCACAACCATAACCAACATGGCTGTCACCATAACTGCCATTGTTGTCACCTCAACCAGGACTGTTAGGGTTACCAACACCACTACATTACTACAAGCAGGAACTGTGTCATCATCGTAGTGCAAGAGCCATCAGCAATGCAAACCTGAGTCAATCTGAAGGCCACGTCTCATGTAGCTGCCCTCAAAGTAAACTCTTTCCCGCCAGGGACTAGTAATATATTACCTTTTCATGGTTCTCTATCAGGATCTCAATGACGATGTTCTGAAATTTGATATCCATGATGGCCGCCACTGTTTCTTCCTGAGGCCTCAGCAAGGTGGGTCCAAACACCACGCCAAGGTTTGCCACGGTCATCAAATTCTGCTTGTGGTTGTTAGCAACGCTGGGAAAAGGGGGGAAAAAGGCAAAAAATGAGGGCACATTAGGGACAGCCAGCCTCCCTACACCCTCCCTACCTATCTTCACATCTGTAGGTTTTTTTCTCTGTAGGAGCCAGAACATGGCGCATCCTTAGACACTATGAATGTACTTCACCTACCAAAGTTTACAAATTTTCATTCAGCATCCAGGCTATTTCGCTATTTTAGGATCTGACATTCCTTATGATTTCCAGTTGGAAGCAACCAAATTGGCCAAAACAACTACCTGCCAAATTATGAATCTCTGCATAGCTGAACTGCTGTTCTGCAAGTCTGAGTCAGTGCTAATCCTTCTTAGTTACAACTTACGTACTTGGCTATTCCTTAAACCACTGTGATCATTAGCATTTTCTCCAGTGCAAACATAAAAAACTCTTGACTGCTTTAATTCATTTACAAACATAGTAAAAAAAAAAAAAGACCTAATTTTTAAAATGGGCAGATCTGTTATTTAAAGCCAAGTCAGGAAATTCAGTACTTTAGACTCAAAATATTAAAGCTCCATTAGATTAATCATATGGTGCACATTAAGAGAAAAATGTGGCATAAACAGAAATAAAAAAAATACTGTATACCCATGTAGGTGACTGTTTATACTGTCATTTATTCTCAAAATTCAAGAACCACACAGTTTGTGGGTCTGAGTGATTTACTAAATACATATGCATATTTTTAGATAAACAATTCCTCAAACCACATATCTGAACTCTGTGATATAGGCCACAGTATGACCTAGTTTTAAACCCCAATTGTTCATTTGCTGGCCTGGTATATTAAAATACACAAGTGAATAACTGACAAGAAATTAGTTAAAATTCATGTCATTTATTATTGCTAAGGAAACATCAGGAGCTTCCCTAAATCACCTGTTAGATGAAGGAAGCTATTCATTATTAACTTGAATCTACAGAGAAACTGGGCAGAGATGGGCAGTTTGCACAGACCTACCTTCCTACCATTTAGTGCTATTTATACTGAGTATTGTTTCCTCACAATTCTATAAATGCCTGCACTGTTTCTCTTGTGCACCTTTATGTAGTAGGAAGGAGGAAAAGAGATTATATATCTTGAGTGCCAGTTTTTAAACTGAGGCTTTATTGAAATACTACATCAGCCAATTCTGTCAGTGTATGTGTGCTTTTCTGTAATTTTTGAGGCTAAAAGTCTAATTTAACTTCCCCCTCTGAAAGGGGCAGGGTGCGGTTACGTCTATGGAACTGTAATGATGGCACAGCCCAGTGAGAAAGAGAATTTGCTTTCTGGCTGCTAAGCAGCACCTGCAGCAGTTGCCACAGGTATCTCGTTTCTGGTCCACATAAAGATATTTTATCAACATTGTCTCAGTGCTAGCTGATTCTTCTGGGTTTAGCACAGCTCCACATTCTCCCCAGAACTACATCGCATTGCCAGCCTGAAAGAGTAATGCAGATGGTCCAGTTCATACCGGGCAAGGAGGAGAGGCTTTGGTCCCGTGCCTCAGTCAATCGCCAAGTGTGCATATTTACAAGCTGCTTATAACATCACGACTCTCCACCTCAGCTCCTCTGTGCGGGAAGGGCGTTTTCTGTCCTTCTACTTCCCTCCCAAATGAGCTAGGTCATTAGGCTTACCCCTCCTTTCACAAAAGTCCCTTGTGCAAATGAATCAACAAGCTATTGCTGTGAGAGAGCACTGCTAAAATGTAGACCAATATAAAAATATATGGTTTGGATGATGATCATTTTTTACCATCCTGCTTTTCCACTCTACATCTGACCAAAAAAAAAAAAAAAAA